AGGGCCTGTATGAGCTCTCAGGGAGCAACTTTGAACAACACATTGCGCAAGGTAGGCTGGTGATTTCCACTGGGTCTGTAACTCACGGCACCCTGGCTTGACCCTCCATGATTCGCTTGGTTTTTCTTTTCACCACTTCCAGACTGTGCACGGGTGGCAACCCCAGAGGTTCTCTCTTCACTGTTTAATGCTTCTCTTATAAATGATTTCTCCTCTCTTTGTTCCCTGCTCCTACAGAGATGCCTTCTTTAACTCCAAGCTTACTGCCTGGAGCTCAGAAATCACCAGAGGGCATGCTGAGTTTGTCCTCTGCTGGGCAGTGCCTCCTTGTATCACCAAGAGATCTGTTTATGTTAATATCCATTGTATGCGTACTGACCTGACATGAAAATACAAGCTGTCATCCTTGTTTTATAATAATTTTCTGGACCCTTGTGCCCTCTAAGTCAAATGAGGTATCCTTCATACTTACAATGTCTCTCTGTCCCACATCCCAGATGTTGAGCCTGGTTTTTACTTCTGCTGTGCATCCTTGATGGGGGCTCCTTTTTTCACTCCTGAACGTACTTCAGATAAGTTGGCTCAGCAGTGAATGAGTGGCAAGCAGGCTTGGCATCCTTGCCAACTTCATTCTCAAGTGCTGCCATGGAGAGTAAGCCCCTTGAAGGCTGGGCTGAGAGCTGAGTGAAAGGGCCTTAGAACCTCATACCTATCGGGACTGGGAGCCCCCTCCCTACACCACATTTGCTGAAAATAACTCACTGATATTGTTGACCTTTCCCCATTCCCCAAACGACAGTAACAAAGCTCAGACCATGTGGGGGATTCACCTGGAGATGAGACTGGCTTGGGCTCCCTTTCAGTTCTCTATTGTTGCTGTAACAGAAATACCACAGGTGGATGGTTTTAACAACCAGAAGTTTATTTTGTTACTATTTAATCCAAACGCACTGCCATCAAATCGATCCTGGCTTATGGCAGCCACATGCCGGATTTCTGAGACTGTAAATCTTATGGTAGCAGACAGCCTCAGCTTTCTATCATGGGCTTGCATTTAGCCCAGTGCTTAGCTCACAGTTAGGTGGCTGTAAGTCAAAATCAGAACACTGGCTTGCTTTCTCTCACTTGGTTCTGCTGGGAGGTCCTTATCTGTCTTCAGCTTCTGATGCCTGATTCTTTGCTGATCTCCCTGTGGCTGGGCTTCTGTTATCTTCCATCTCTGCGTGCTGGGTTGCTTGCTTAATCTGCCTTTTTGAAACCGCAAAAGAGATTTATTTACGCTTCACCCTACGTGTATATGACCTCATTAACGTAGCAAAGAAAACCCATTCCCAATGGGATTCTAACCATAGGTTAGGATTTATAATGCATGTTTTGAGGGAACACAGTTCAGTCTATAGCATGCTCTCCAAGCAGGATGTGCTACCCAAATGACCTCTGTCTTTAGGCCACCCCGCTTATGAAGCAGCTCACTGATGAAGGGCTATGGTGTGTAGGTGCTACATTTTGTTGCTTTCAGGAGGGTCTCTGTTGCTGCTGTCTTCTGCCCTCTGCCGTGGCTCCCATTGTTCCTGGCATCTGTTCCTAGAGAGCCTGTCTCCCTCGGGCAGCTGTGGCCAGCTTTCCCCCTTCCCTCACATGCTTGACACAGATGTGCACGCAGACGGTTAATGTTTCTGGAATATGTGTCACTTTTCCCCTCAAACACTCTGCTGTCATGGGTGATGAAGTGGCCAAGTCCTGCTCTGAAGCCGAGTTACAGTTTAATTTCCCCTGATTGTTTTCTCTGCCTGGCCCAGAACTTAGTTTCATTTTCCTTTCACCTTGACATCTTTAGGCCCTTGGCTGGTCAAAGCAGATAGGTAAAGATCTCCAATGGCTAAATGAGGATTTTGGGAGTTTCTGTTTTTTTCCTTTCCCTAGTCAAGAGGGTAATATTTGGTTGTTTTTTTAAACCTTCTATTAGAAAACATCACACACTGACATAGAATGCAAATGTGGACCTTAGTGAATTGTTATCAGATGACCAACCTGTAGCCATTGATTGTCCTAGGGAAGAAATACAGCTCTGTCGGCCCTCCCCCCAAAAAGTCCTCCTCATGCCCCATCCAGACCCCAGCCTGCCTCCAGAGGAACCTCTCTCCTGACTTCCATGGTTACTCTGGTTTAGCTTTGCTCCAAGGTTTGATTACACACATCTCATTCCTGAGCACTAGTTTAGTTGACTTAGGGTCTCTTTTTTTAAATACCTCTTATAAATTACTTTTAATCTACATATTCCCTCAGCACCTCTTCCTGTGTTTTATTTGCTGAGGACACAGGATATTTGACCTGTATCTCTCCAGGTACCACTGGGACTTGCTGATGGTACCCTGTGGTGGTGGTTAGTATGGTTCCCAGATTTCTCCAGCTTCTGTAAGTAGGTCCTTGGCTATAGAGGCACGATCAGTTCCAGTTTGAATTTTGGGAGCAGGGGCAAGACTTCAGACCTCTTGGTGGCAGATCCTGTCGGATTGTGTCTTTCTGTGATGTTACCAACCGTTGACCATCACCGTTGGTAGTCAGTTGTTGTTAAGTGCTGTTGAGTCGGTTCCAACTTACAGTGACACTCGACAGGGTTTCCAAGGAGTGACTAGTTGAGTTAGAACCGCCGACCTTGTGATTAGTAGGCCAGCACTGATCCTACCGTGCTATACCAGGCCTGCTGTAGCAGAAGTGCCACGTGTGGGTGGCTTTAGTGAACACCAGTTTGCTTCCTCCCAGTTTAGGAGGCTGTTGGTTGTGTAAGGGCCATCAAGTCAGTTCTCACACACAGTGACCACTAAAGAGTGTTTCTGAGGAGTGACTGGTGGGGTTGGACTGTTAACGGCAAGCTTAGGTTTGAACTGCCGACCTTGCAGAGAGCAGTCCAGTACTTACTGTACACTGCCTGACCACAGGCCACCAGCTCCAGGGGAAGGCTCGCTCTGTCCACTGCCCTTCGCTTTGCCTCTGTGGTCTGTATCTTCCCCTCTGTTTGTGCTCCCATGGTTGCAAAAAGGCTGATGTTCTAACTCTGGCATTCCTACTTTGTCTTGCCCTCATCCATCATTTGGTTATTCTGTGGCACAGTTCACACAGAAGAAGGCAGGAAAAGTTCTCACTTGTTCCTCCCCACTTATTTCCAGTTTTCAAACTTTCCATAAAGATGACAAATTCATTTTGCCCCGAGTATTGTTTATGAACTCCTCGATGCAAGCATCTATTTTAGTTATTTTTATGTGTGAAGATACACACCACCCAGCATTTGTCAATTCAGCGCTTTTCACGTGTGCACTATAGTGAGGTCAGTTATATTAACCAGGTTTTATAACCATCTCCACAAACTCATGGCTGCTTAGACAATGGCACCCCCATACCCCCGCCCCTGGTAACCAGAAAGAACACTTATGGGTGCAGGTGTACTTGGTGGCGAGTCACTTTTCATCAGCTGAAGGGTTCCTGCTGATCTTGAGACTCGCTAAACAAGAGAACAGGAATCTAATTCTTCAGTTAAATCTCTGGTGAGGTCTGGTGTCAGTTACCATTTCTTTTCCCCTTCTCTGCCTTGGCTCTCCTTCCAGGCGACCACTTTATCAAGTTCTTTGCTCCGTGGTGTGGTCACTGCAAAGCTCTGGCTCCAACCTGGGAGCAGCTGGCGCTGGGCCTTGAACATTCCAAAACTGTCAAGATTGGCAAGGTAAGTGACAGCTCTTAGTAAACTGGAAATGGACCGCCTTTGGCTGGAGTAATTAGTAGAGTGGCCCATTCTTCATTCTACGTGCAGAGTTGCAGACTTGATTTATTCATTCCATTTAGCGTGCCACTTGATAATTCACCTCACTTTCGCACATGCCAGCCCACGGTTTGCTGGCTTTTCCACAGCATCTCCGTAAATTATGGTCTCAGGCGCTTTATTTTGAGGAGATGGCCAATTCTGAATTGGCAGCACCAGAGCCCTTTCTGTAGACGTGGGGCAAAGCTGTAGAGAGTGTTCACTCAACATGCTTGGAGACCATCCACGTTTGATCTCACCCATTAGCTCTTTCCTGAAGGACTGTTGGCTTTATCCTCACATGGCCTTGTAGAAGACCCTTTATCCTCACGTAGCCTTGTAGAAGACCCTTTATCCTCACATGGCCTTGTAGAAGACCCTTTTTGTTGGTGAGTTCCTATTAGCTCTGCTGCCTGGAATTTGACCCAACTGTTCCTGCTTACACTGTAAGCCAGAAATGAGGTGCATAACTTCTGTGTAAGCGGGTGTTGTGGAAAGACCTAGACTAGCCTCCGGTGCAGCTCCGGCTCATCAGATATTTTGAATCTCATCCATCCTCTTGTTCCCATGGACATCCCTGTGTGGGTTTTCTTTTGTAAAAATCCTGGTTTTGACTTTGCACGGGACTGATATCTGTGCAGAAGTAATGGGGCTCGTCTCAGGATCATGCTCAGTAAGGTGTTCTACCTGGCATGGCTGAGTCCCTGAATAGTGCAAACTGAACCAAAAGTTTGGAGGTTCTGGTCTTACTAGGAGCACCTCAGAAGAAAGGCTTGGAGATCTCATTCTGAAAACTCCAAAATTGAAAGCTCTATGGAAGCACAGTCCTACTTGGACACGTGTGTTTGTCATGAGTTGGAATCAACAGCAGCTGGTTTGAGCTCTGCTGTGAGGGCACTAAAAGGAGAAACTTGGGAGCCTGGTAGACTTGGCTGGCTGACTTGGGCCGCCTCCTAGTGCATTGCTTCACGTGGAGCCAACGCTTGATAAACTGTAATGCTTTATTAGTGTTGTTAGTTCAGTGGATTCTTCCCTGCTGCCTATTACACATTTTTAATAGCGTATTCTACTTACATGTCATGATAATGGTTTTGTGATTTATTGACCATTTCATGGGAGTAATTCCAGAATAATCTTGCTTCCTAACATTCTCATTCCTTATATCCTTTGTGATTATCTGAACTTTTATAGGAGATCATTTGTATTTTAGCTTCTGTCAGTGGAAGCTCTAATAGAACCAAGCATGTCCAGAGGCAGCCGGACGCACCGTTCTGTGAGGAAGACACTTCTTCCTATGCATGTGTCAGGGATCGGCTTAAGTTGGACCCGTAAAAATGCTTGTCACTCTCCACAGACTTTGGCTTCAGGCTACCTGCAACTCTGTTTAACACTCTGTTTTCTCTGACTTTACTCTGTTAATCCCGTCATTGGAGTCCTGGTGTGGTGCTGCGGGTTATTGCACTAGACTGCAAGGTCAGTTTGAATTGCAAGGACGGCAGTTCAGGCTCACCAGCCGCTCCTCGGAAGCCCTATTCAGGCTCATTATGAGTCAGAACCGATGTGAGGGCATTTAACGACAATCCCATTGTTGCCCTGGTGTGGCACTGTAGGATAAACACTGGACTGTTAACCACATGATTCTGGCCCACAGGCTGCTCCTCAGTCACCCTATATAGGATCACTATGAGTCAGAACCGACTCGACGGCATTTAACAACAACAACTTACAGAGACCCTAGAGGACAAGCAGAACTGCCCCTTTGGCTTCTCTAGGCTGTAATCTTTAAATGAGACTTTCTGCTCCTGCAAATGTTTACAGTCTTGGAAACCCCATACAGTGCTGCTTGAGTCAAGACTGGCTCGATGGTACGTGAGAGCAACAATCTTCATAGACTGTAATCTTGATGGGGCAGATCTCCAGGTCTTTCTCCCAAGGGGTGGTTGGTGGGTTCTTAGCAGCTGAGTGCTTAAAACACTGCACAACCATAGTGCCATTAGTGCCTGTTGTTGACTGCCATCAAGTTGGTTCTGACCCATAGCAATCCTATTTAGGGTTTCCAAGGAGTGGCTAGTGAGCTTGAACTGTTGTCCTTGCGGTTCAGACTGACCCTGTGGTCAAGTGCTTCCCCTACAGCGCCACACTAGGACTCCTTAAGTGTTAGTAGAAAATCAAAAAGAAGTATCTTAGAATAAAACTTTGTCTGAAAATATTGGGCAAGTACTTCTATGTAGCACCGACTACTTGTTCTTCTTTGGCTCCCAAATCGGTTGTGTGCCACGCCTCACCTCTCCCCACAAGTTGTTGTTGTTGTGAAGTGCTGAAAGGTTAGTTCGGAATAGCAAAGTGACCCTGTGTAGGGTTTTGAAGGAGCAGCAGGTGGGTTTGAACCACCAGCCTTGTGGTTCACAGTCTAGTGCTGATCCTGCAGCACCAAACCAGTTAGGCCAGGCTTGTTTTCTCCATCCACTGATCTGTCTAAAGTTGGCATTTGTAGTTAAGCTCAAATAAATGATGTCTCTGAAGTTAAATCTTCCTGGGCTCAGGTGACATTTGTTCTGAGATAGCCTTTAGGAAAAGTCTCCAAAAACTGCAACTTGCTGACGGAGATGCTATAGGATCTGAATGTTTAAAATGATGATTTTGTGTCTTGTGTCCAGAAGTCTGTTTGCCAAGAAGGCTGGTGTAGAATGTGGCTGTGACTTGCATGTCCCTTTGTTTTCAGGTCGACTGCACACAGCACTATGAACTCTGTTCTAGAAACCAAGTCCGTGGCTACCCGACTCTCCTCTGGTTCCGAGAGGGCAAGAAGGTGAGGGGCTTCAGTTCTTGCTGTTGAGACACAAGTTCATTCTTATCACTGAAACAGCACCAGTTGTTGAATGTTTGCAGTGAATTGCCAGGATCGTTGGTTGGGCACTAGCTTGGGACAAAATGTCTTTCTCTTTGTGGAAAAGACGAGGGCAGTTGAGAAGTCAAAACTTTTTGTTGTTGACTATTTGAAGGCATTCTTATTGGCATGGGTTACTGCTAGCCTAACCTGACCCTCCATTCATAGGGCAGTGATGCCCTGACCGTGGACACACACAGTCCTGGGGCTGCTGACTCGGTCAAGTGTAGTCTCCTCACTTCTCTGAGACTACATCGCCTGTGCTGATGTTGGCGGTCGTCTCAGGATCTCTGTGGGCTGAAGGCTCTCTTGAGGTCCAGTTAACCCTGGCCTCCATGGGCCACTTCCTCTGCCGAGGGAACTACTGTAAAATTCCCTCACCCAAACCACAGCATCTGTGCATAATGTATTCTTTGCTAGTTACATTTCTAGGTGCCCTGGTGGTGCAGTGGTTAAAGCAGCTGCTAACTGAAAGGTCAGCAGTTCGAGCCCACCAGCCACTCTGTGAGAGACCAATGTGGCAGTCAGCATAGAAACCCTGTGGGGAGACCCTGTAGGGCTTGCTAGTAGTCAGAATTGACTCAACAGCGGTGGGTGATTTGTTGTTCGATTTAAACTTGGGCATACAAGCAGTGTGTGGCAGGTGTGACTGAGGCTGAGCCGTCTCGTGAGTGAGAGCTGGGGTGGGTGTCGGGGCACTAATGAGTAGCATGCTAGCGTGGCCTGTGTCTGACAGGTGGATCAGTACAAAGGAAAGAGGGACCTGGAGTCGCTGAGAGAGTATGTGGAGTCGCAGCTGCAGAGCCCAGAGGAAGAAGCCGAGGAGCCCGTGGAGCCTTCTGAGGCCCCAGTGCTGGCTGCGGAGCCTGCTGCTGACAAGGTGAGTACCCATCCTGGACAGCACAGCGGACATGGTCCTACAGCCCCCCTGTGGGACCATGATGACACTCCTCAGATACTTTGGTCAAAAGGACAATTTGGAGGGCGTAAAGGATAACTCAGGTAGAACCGGTGATACTGCACTTGGTGCTCACCAAAAGATTGGAGGTGTGAGTTCACCCAGAGGAACTTTGGAAGAAAGAGCTGGTGATCTGCTTTCCCCAATCAGCCATTGAAAACTGAGCAGTGCAGGTGTGCTCGGGCAGACATGGAGTCATGTGAGTTAGAGCCGACTCCATGGCCACAGGTCTTAAAGACTCATGCTGATGATGGGCTTACATTGATGTGGCAACAGGAAACGGTTCCTTCAGCTACTTTTGCATGCTTGTAAGGGCTCAACATAAACAAATGTGTCTTTCGCTCTTTGTATTTTTTAAATTTTTTATTGTGAACTGAGTGATCGTTTACATGGGAGAACATCGGCTTTACACCATCATTTAAACGCAGTGATTACAGTCTCCTCCACGCATTGTCATTTGATAGTATTGGCTTCCATTCTGAGTGTGTGGTTTTTTTGGATGGTGTTGGTGGTGGTGGTATAGGAGTGTACACAAAAACACTCAGGAATATATAATAATTCAGACAACCTAAGGACCCATTCTGCAAATCTGCCTCCTGGCTGCCCACTCTCTATCCCTCTCTTCCAATGAATCTAGAGTCCTCAGCTGCTCCCTCTCTTCATGTTGTCATCTCTGCCATCATTGCTTCTCTGGATAGGGTCCTGCATTCTGCTTGTTCTCTTCTTCCTTGATGGCCCTAGGGTCTTGTTTCTGGACTGTAAGATTAACCACTTCTCACTTTTTGTTATAGAACTTCTACCTATACAGTTGTGACAGTCGCAATTAGTCATGATAACAGTTACTCACTATTGAATCATACGAATCTTATCCCCATCTCTTTTTACCAGACCCATCTAGACAAGAGGAAAACTATTCAGTGGGGACTCTACCTTCCCCTGCACACTCTTAAAGTAAATTCTCTCTTGAAACCTTGTAAGCCAGTCACTTTGTGCCTCTATCGCCCCTTCATTTTAGGTAGCCAGGGTCTAAGTTGCCCATCCCTGTCTACCCTATATAGAGAGGGAATAGCATTGATAATTGATGTGAAGACTCCTTCTCTCTCATTTGTAATTTTGAGCTATTACATCCATAAAGATATAGGTAAAGTTCACCAAATTGTAGCAATTTACACTCATTTCCTTTGTCAAAGATTATTTTTTCTGTCTTTCTCTAATTGAGTTCTAATTACCAAGCCATCGAGGCTAGATCAGATGGGTACTATCTGCAAGTTTGAGCATTCTTGTGAATCTCCCCTCATTTCAGGCGTGTCTTACAATGACGAAATAGGCATGAGACAAACTGAAGCAGTATTTGGTGTCAGAATCTAGGGAATCCTCCCTGTTTCGTGAGTTTTGAGGAATAACCGTGGACACTCTGGCTGTGACATTTTACTGAAACTCTGGACTCTGGCCCCAAAAAGCGCTGCAGTAGAGAGTGTGAGTGGCATAGAGAAGCTCCCATTGTATTCTGTTAACTTTGTTTGGCTTTATCTATTGTGTTGGAGGATAGAGCCACTCATTCAGAATTCACAAGTGTATGTTAGGTTTCAGGCATTATACTGGGCTTTCAGAGAACAAAACCATTTACCTGCCCAGCTAATGTGGGAGGCAGATGCAAACACATGCTGCAGGTTGTTACCAGGGGCAGTGATGAAAATGCATACAGGGCCTACTGTGGTTGCTTGAAAGAGGTGGGACCAGAATAGCAGGGACTTAGAGTTGGGGGGGGGTGGGGTTATGCAGGCTGTCCAGGCTCACAGTGTGGAGCAACAGCACCCAAAACAAACCAGCAGGTTCAGGCAGGCCCCGCAGGTGGTCAGGGAGGCAGGATGAAGTATAGGCAGCCAGTGGAGTCACAAGTAGGACGTGGATCGCAGTGGGCTTTGCTGGCCGGCCAGGGATTCTGCTGTATCACCCAGCTATAGAGTTGCCAGTAGATTTGAATTTTAGAAAGATGACTGGCCACTGCAGATTTGATCAAGATGTACCACTTTTATGTGTCCATGAAAGGTGTTGAGATCCCAAACCAAACGCGGTGACAAAAGGGGTAGGGAGTACCCTCCATACACAGAGAAGACAGGGATGGGCAACTTGGACATTGGCTACCCAAAATGGGGGGGCTACAAAGGCAAGAAGTGGCTATCTTACAAGCTTTGAAGAGGGAGCCTAGATCCAGAGGGCATGGAGGAAGGTAGAATTTCCATTGAGTAGTATCCAATCTCTTTGGGTGCAGCTGATGAAAGGAGATGTGGCTAGGTCTCTTGTGATACAATAGTGAATAACTGCTATCAGGACTGATTGTGAGGTAGATGTTTTGTAGCAAAAGGAGGGGAGTGATTGACTTTGCAGTCTAGGAGCCGAGGTCCCTGGGACCATCAAGAGAGAAGAGCGGAGTGTGGTGATGCCAGAAATGGAGGCAGAGACGATGACATGGAGAGATGAAGCAGTTGGGAATTGTAGACCCAGAGAGGGAGAGGGGCTGTATGCTGATGACCGGGGTGCAGGCTTGCAGGGTGATATACACTTTGGTTGGTTGATGATCCATGGAGGGGATTGTAACCACGGCAATTAAATGATATATGGTAGATGAATGTAAAGCTAATGTTCTCCCATGTAAACTATCACCCAATCCACAATACAACGTTTAAAAAAAAAGATAATGGAAAAAACAACATACGATTATCAAATAAAAAAAAGGGGGTGGGGAGCAGTCGAAGCAAGTGTAAGGTCCTGTCTCCTGGGTATAGCTATCAGAGGGTGGGGGGCTGTGGGACCACTTGAGTCCCAGCAGATGGGGAAGGGCCAGGGGAGGAGGGCGTGATTGCTTTCAAGATGTTGATTCTCAGGGCTGAGAGGGATATTGAGGGGGCACTGCAAATAGGACAGAGCCTGCGTGGCACAAGCGATTTGCAGTCAGCTGGGTCGTTACGAATCGGGCTGCTAACCTCACGGTCAGCAGTTTGAAACTACCAGCAGTTCCGCGGGAGAAATAAGGCTTTCTGCTCCCATAAAGATTTACAGCCTCGGAAACCCTGTGCAGGGTCACCATGAGTCGGAACCGACTCTATGGCACATTACCACCACTGCTAACCTAAAGTAAGTTGGGCGGTTTGAACCTCGCCAGCAGCTCTGTGGAAAAAAGTCCTTGAGAACCGATTCCTTAAATATTACAGCCAAGAAAATTGTGGCGCACAGTTATACTCTGTAACACATGGGTGGCTGTGAGTCTGAATTGACTCGATGTCACTGAGTTTGTCTCATTAAATGTCCGGGTCTGAAGCTCAATGAGTTGTCTCTCCCACTTAGAGAAGCAGATGTGGAAGTTCTGTGTGAGAATGAAATGATTGGAGGGGAATCAAAACGTGTTTTCCCAGGAAAGCAATGCCTGAGGTCTCTATCTAATAACCACAGGTCCCACTGGTCAACCTAGTCCCAAAGCAGAATACTATATTGCTGCTGTGGTTCACACAGTCTGCTTCCGAGCAGGCCTGGTTCTTGGGACTTGGAGACATTTGGGCAGAGGAAGTTGCAGAGCATGCCTTTTGTGCCCTGGGATGGGAGACCAGGTGTGTGGTGACGTCTTACTGGCAACTCTCAAACCCTTGACATTTATACAAGAGAATGAGACTTACTGGGGCCATCTCGCCCAAGGCTGCATTTGGAAATGGAAAACCCCGTGGAACCTCCCTGGGTGGGAACGGCACCAGGCTTCCTCACCCCCACCGCCCATTCCTCAGCTGGACACTTGTAGGCTTTCGATGGCCTGGTGTTTGTTGAAAGTCAAAGCTTGGGTTTAAGAAGTAACACATGACTTTACAGTTATGACCACATATGTTGAGTGCATGTGTCATAGTGGTTCTAAAGGTCATCCCAAATTAAGTATAATTATATACTATGAATGTTTTTATCAAACCCAGAGCCGCATCTATTTATATTAAAGTTTTCCACCAGTGAGCCGCTCTTTCAGTGAATGAAGCGTGATGTTTCTGGATGTCAAGAAGGGTAGCAGTATTCTACAGTGGCCCACCTGCCAGGGCTTCCTCCCTGACTCTCATGCACGTTGCAGACTCTATACTCTAATGGAGCAACCCAAGAACAGTTAGAAACACGCTTCATCACTCGTAGTCCCTTTTCGTGAAGAAATCACAGTTTATATCGGTTGCTGCTGAGTTGACACCAACTTCTGGTGTGACCCTGTGTGTAGAACTGTGCTCTATAGGCTTTTCAGTGGCTCATTTGTCAAAAGTACATCACCAGGACTTTCTTCCTGGGTGCCTCTAGGTGGACTCAAACCTCTAGTCTTGCAGTTAGCAGCTGAGCACTGAGCAAGTCTAATTCATTTGCGTAGCAGTCAGGTGGGAATCACTAAAAGCACACTCCCTTGTAGGGCAGGAAGGAGCTCTAGATCTCGAGCAAAGTCCTGGATATACGGTCTCAGCAGTTCTCGGGAGGCTAACGCTTGCCACATTTTCCTTGAGAATTTACAAGTGAAGCCTACGGTATGGTAGATGCTCACCATGCCTGTGCTTCAGTTACTGCTGTTGGCTTCCATGACGTTGGCTCCAACCCATGACAACCCCATGCACAGCTGAGCAAAAAGACTGCCAGCTGTGCATGTGTATCCGCTAGAGCTGTTGGACTGGTCCGTCTCCCCCAGGGGCTCACTCACCCTGCTGGCCCTCTGCTTCATGAAGCATAATGTCTTCCTAGCGATTCTTCTGATGATGCGTCCAGAGCAAGCAAACCAGACAATATTTTGTTAAGATCCAAAATTTTTCAGTGGGCTAATTTTTAGAAGTAGAGTGCCAGACTTTTCCTCCTAGTCCATCTTCATCTGAAAGCTTCACTGGAACTTGTGCACTGTGGTATTTCAAATACCAGTGGTGTGGCTTCCAGCATCATAGCAAATCAGGTCACCACAGCGCGACAGACTGCCAGGTGGCCGGTGGCTCAGGTACGTGTCCAGTTCACAGACAGGCGTATAGGGTGGGTGGTGGGAAGAGCCAGCAGACATCAGTTAGGACCAGTAAGTTTGGGTTCTAGACTCTTGGGTCAGCATTGAAGGACCCCCAGAGCTGCCTAGATTTTTACATCTTTTTACATTTTGCTTCTGGGTTACTTTGATGGCTCTGGTACCCACCTAGGTGGGCTTGGGAGAGAGCGCTGGACTGGGCTGCACCCAGGTGTCAGCACCCACTTGTGTACTATGGGCTTAGGCTCATGGTTTCTTCGAGGACTTTTCTGCCTTTCAGCAGTGTGTCCCTGCTTGTGGAGAGTGGAGTGTGTAGGCATTTTTGTGGGTCCTTGGTACATGCATGAAAGCATGATTTTTTACACGATAAGTACTCCTGCCATTCCACACATGACCCTGCGCTCTGCTGTAAGTGGCACGTCTGAACGGTGGCTTTTCCCTCCTGCAAAGGGCACTGTGCTGGCTCTCACCGAAAGCAACTTTGACGACACCATTGCTGAGGGACTCACCTTCGTCAAGTTCTACGCCCCATGGTAAGTGGCTGCTCATTAGGAACTCTCTTGTTCTCTTATACTAAAGTCTCATGGAAGTTTTCAACTTGTTCACCAGCCGTTCAGACTGTGTTGCGTTTGCACGTCTGTGGGAAGGTGGGCGAGGAGACCAGGATGTGCAGGCCCCTGTTGAGACCACATTGTGGGGAGTAAGGAGATACTGTTGTTGCGCTCGTGTGTTCTGATGCGATACAGGGCGGTGGTATGTATACACAAACACAGAATGCGATCCGTTTATCTTAAAGTTCAGTCTACTTTGGAAGAGACTTAACAGCAGGGGAAAAGAATGAAAGTTGGCCATGCAAACATCAAGTTGGGTGGTATCTTTGTACTTTTTCCAAACAGGTTATTTGATGAATGAACATGAGTACAAAGCTTTGCATCTTGATCTCTTCAGTAATGTTGCAGGGAAACCTAGTACAGCTTCACTTTCAACATGCTGCTCAAAGACCTGAACCTCCCCCTCCCCAGCATGGTCTTCAGGGTTCAGACCTCAAAATAGATGCCAATAGCTTGCCCGCAAACTGCCGTATAGTGTGGGACCGAAGATGGTGAAGTGTTGAGACCAGAGTGCCAGAATGTGTCCCAAGACTCCCGGATAACCAACAACTTGGGTGGCCTCTGATTACTTGGAACCTACTTCCTTAGCTGTAGAATGGGAACAACTGTGCAGAAAGAGCAAGCGTCATGGAAAAGCAGGGAGGTTCCTAGGAAGAGTGTTAAGTCTTCACATGAAGATGCTCAAGTAAGCTCACCATGTGTCAGTCACTCTTGTCCTTCCGTCGGTTACAGGCATCTGTGAAGATTCAGTTTAATGAGCCCGTGACCCCTATGAGCTGTGTGGTTTTCAGTTATAGAGAATTGAAATTAGTAAATAGTGTCCTGACATTGAATATTTTCCAGTTTTAAAAAACCCAAAGCTGCATAGCTCAGGTGTAAAAGAGATCTTTTATTGACGGGGAGCTGCTCATATGACGGGAAGAAGGTCAGAAAAGGAAAGGAAATAAAACAGTGCGAAGTAGGGAGGGTTTGAGCCAAATGTAGTAAATGGCCACAAAGTTCACACCGGATTGGTGAAGCAAGCTTAACAGAGGCACTGAAGTTGTTCAGAAATTTTGAGGTCATAGGCAATCGAATTGAAAACAGTGTAGATTTCAAAGCGTTTGGAATGTACTTTGTGCCCTACTTAGTTGAATGGTTGCGGGAATTTGATCTTGTTCACAGGTCAGCTGATTTGTATGTAGTAGGTGAACCTGCTTTGGATTGCCTTTGAATTCCTTATTTGGGACAGGGAGAGAAGGAGGAGGAAGAAAAGTGTGTGCCTCCCGGCAGAATTCCACGTTTTATAGATTTCTTGGCCTCATCCAGAAGAAACAGGCTCAATGGTGAAATGCAAGTGAATGAGCTGAACTCAAGATGCCAACCAAACGGTCGTTATTGTGTTCCTAGGTGTGGCCATTGTAAGAATCTGGCTCCCACGTGGGAGGAACTCTCCAAGAAGGAATTCCCTGGTTTGGCAGGAGTCACGATAGCTGAAGTGGATTGCACTGCTGAGCGGAATATTTGCAGCAAATACTCGGTAGGTATACGCAGGTGAACACATTTATTGTGACTAAGCCAGACCTACACCTCCCCCCCCCCGCCAGGAGATGAGTGGCAGCTGTGATGAACTCAAGCGTACCTACAGTTGTGGGAATGGTGCAGGATTGGGCAGTGTTGTTCCTAGGATCACTGTGAGTCAGAACAGATTTGATGGCACCTAACAAGAAGTGCTGCTGGCAGATCCCAAGCAAGACTGTAATTCACACAGCCCTGCTCCCTTCAACAAAGTGTTTTTGGTTTCCTCGAGATTTCTGTTAGTTTTTTGGAGATGCTCTCCCACAGGTAAGGCTTTGTTCTCTTTGGTTACTAGCTAGCATATGCTTCCCAGTGGTGTCTACTTAGGCCTGGTCATCTGGCTATGAGCCCACTTGCAGGGACTCCAGGACAGAGTCCTCCCTGCGAGGCCAGTGCTGCTTAGTGACCAACTGTCCAGCTGCTGTGGAGCCACTGATAGATGTCTTGGGCTGACGTCCTCAGACCTAAGTCACCATTATAAGTACTGCGGCAGAGGAAGGACTTATTAGACCATCTTCCTTCTAAGGGAGCCGTACCTACAAGCTAGGGTAGTCCACAAGTTTGGGGTTGTTGTTACATTCCGTCATGTTGATTCCGACCCATAGCGACCCTGTATAGGGTGAGCTTGAACCACCGACCTTGCAGTTCAAACGATTTTGCAGTCTGACGCATTAGCCCACAGCGCCACACCAGTGTGGGGTAGCCTAGAAGAATTCTAACGTTTGTATTTGTGTTGTTATTTTGAGCACTTTTGGGGGCAGGGTGGTGTAGATGGTTATGCGCTCAGCTATAAATTGAAAGATTAGTGGTTCAAATCCACTCACAGGCAGTTCAGAAGATAGGTCTGGTCACGTAGGTCCTAAAGGTAACAGTCATTGAAAGCCCTCTGCAGTACGATTCTCCTTCTTATGTGTTGGAATTGACTTGATGGTGACTGGTTTTCGTTTCTTTTTCCATTTTTATTAGATGTTAGCAAAACACTGTGTAAATTTAGGAGTGGGAGAGAGGAGTTTCGGGTATACTAATTGGCAATTCACTGGTTCAAGTACATGACCGCCTTAGATGGAGAATAGATAGCGCACAGAGAGTTTACCTAGCTCTGTTGTTGGTGTAGGTACTGTCAAGTCAGTTCCAACATGGCGACCTTTTGTACAATCGAATGAAACACTGCCTGGTCGGTCCTCTGCCATCCTCACGATTGTTATTGTTATAGCTCGTTGTTGTAGTCGTATCAGCCCATCTTGTTGAAGGTCTTCCTCTATTTCGCTGACCTTCTGCTTTACTAAGCGCGATGTCCTTCTCCAGGGACTGGTCCCTCTTGATCACACGTCCTAAGATCGTGAGACGAAGTCTCACCATCCTTACTGATAAGAGCACGCTGGCATACGTATGTCTTCCAACATAGGTTGGATCATTCTTCTGGTATCATGGTGCATTTAATATTCCTTGTCAGTACCGTAATTCAGACGTATCAGTTCTCCTTCCATCGTGATCTTTGTCCAGCCTTCATACTCATGAAGCGATGGAAAAATACCATGACTTGAGTCAGGTGCACCCTTAGTCCTCAAAGTGACATCTTCGCTTTTTAACACTGTAAAGAGGTCTTTTCCAGTAGATTTGTCCAATAGAGTATGCCATTTGATTTCGTCACTGCTGCTTACATGGGCATTGGTTATGGATTTGAATAATATAAAATCCATGATTTATCGTGCTATTGCTTATGGGCCCATGATTTTTGTTTTATAATGAGGTTTAATCCATCCTGAAGATTGTAGTCTTACTACTTACCATTTCAGACAAACATAGCAAACCCTGCTGAATCTGAATAAGTTTTTATTGTGAACTGAGGGATAGTTTACGTGGGAGAACATCAGCTTTACTTTTTCATCTTATCATAGCAATGATTTCAGTCCCCTCCATGCATCATCAAACAATCAAAGGGTACACCCCGCAAGCTTGCCCCCTGGCTGTCAGCACAGCCCTTCTCCCTCCCTGAATCCAGAGTCCCCTGCCGTTCCATCTCTCCACGTCATTGTCTCTGCCCAGAATTGACCTTTTCACAGGCTCACGTTCCAGATTGAGAAGAGTGATTCCTTCAGTGCCGCCTTGGATTCAAAAGTGAATAGAGAAGTTCCAAGACTTCTCCATTTTAATCCTTCTGGCACTTTCTTCCTAACATCATTAAAATGTAACCCTAGAATTTCCCAGCTACAGCTGTAGAACGTTATCTGAATTTATTGGAGCAGCATTTTATGTGCATTTTCAAACTTGATTTTTAATTTTTTGGTTTTTGTTTGTTTCCTTTAAAGGTCCGAGGCTATCCCACGTTGCTGCTTTTCCGAGCAGGAAAGAAAGTCAGTGAACACAACGGGGGCAGAGACCTTGAGTCATTGCATCATTTTGTCTTGCGTCAGGCAAAAGATGAACTGTAAGGACCCAGCTGAATGTTGCCTCTGCTCCCCGCTGCCTCCACCCAGAGCTCAGTCACACTGATGTCCAAGAGGGTGGTTCTTCGGAAAGCTGAATGTGCTAAATGGGTGATACCTTCTTTATGTGTGTGTTTTTTAAGCCAACACACTATAAGGACTCTTATAGTTTCTCTAAGTAAACGTGTAACTCATGGTCACTGTGCAAACTAAATATTTTCAGCGGCAATACATCCCCTTTCACCCGCTCCTGATGAAATTTAAATGGTTTCCTTTGGGACTAAAATAGAGTTGAGGAAAATCAAATTGCCGGGACTATTTTTGACTTCTGAGTGATTTTGGTGAAGGCATCATGACCAAAGCCTAGTTTTGAACTGCCCACGAGGATGGGAAAAGGTGGCCTATGGCAGTCCTGCTGTTCTCCTGACCTGAGGATCACAATGGCTTCTTCAGAAAGAGGTTGGTCAGTAGCTGGGAACAGATTGGGAAACACCTCTGGAAATGCATTCACAACGACTTCTGGGATTGCTGCTTCTGTTAGCGCCTCTGTCTGCAGAAGAGGTCAGTCACAGTCCTTCCAGTATGTGTGTTTCATGTGTGTCTCTTAAGTCAGTTTATTGTTTAGGGGGTACTTACGTTTCTCCTGGGCTGGAAGATTTCATACGTTCATCACGTTAACAGCAAAGGCAGAGTCCAGGCAGACTTTAAAATTGTCCTGGGCTGGAAGATTTCATACGTTCATCACGTTAACAGCAAAGGCAGAGTCCAGGCAGACTTTAAAATTGGACAATCTCCCATAGGAAAATGCAGGCATGGGACATGCCACAAGTTAAGATGCTGGCTGCCTATCACCTGAAGCACTTCAGTAATATGAAGGGGCTTCAGAAAGCTTGTGAAAAATAGAATTAAAAGATAAAGGGGTGTGGGGAATAAAGGATTTTTCTATAACTGTTTTGACACGCCCCCCACCCCCAACCCCCACACACAAAAAATCATAGACTGATTCTCCCCTTAGTCTAGTGCCCAGGAGCCAGGTCTAACCCTCGGCCCTGCAGAGCATTCTGACTGGAAGCTGTTTCAGATTTTGTTCCTTAAAGCACAAGCCGCCCCTTAAAGCACAAGCCGCCCCTTTTAGGGACTTGCTGTACATTGCCTGCCTTTGAGGAGGTCGACCTTTTAGCATATGCAGCGTGGAAAGACTTTGACCTCACGACCAAAGACTGAAGGGGCATCGCTATCCTCCAGTCTGTGTTGGTCTTCCCTGTACCAACCAGCTGGAGGACTAAGGTCCCTTAGAGTGTGAACACACATCTGTTCTTTACCATCAAGTCACTGCCGACACCCTCCCCACATACACAGGGTGACGTTGTCATTTGGCCCAAAGTAACTGGTGTGGTGGTGGTGGTGTGGGGCTCTCAGAAAAAGACCACTTACTGTGTGGAGCAGAAGATCACAGAACAACGTCTCTACCAGCCTCTGCCTCCCAGGAACTCTTTTATTAATCATGTGTGGCTCACGGGTGTTCTGTATAAACCCTGATTTGTAGGGAAGCGCAGTCCTTCAGAGTGACCTCAGCCTGGCATCACGAGTGTCGTATTCAGAGAAATGCAAAGTGGTACAACTTGTTTACATGATGATACTTTCTAAATAAACTTTTTTTAAAAAAAGTTTAGTCTTTCTTTAAATGTTACAACAACACAGATATAAAACAGACAATAAATTATCGTTTATATTTACAAAAAAAAAAAGCTGTAAGTACAATGAGCGATTATAAATGTATTATTTAATCAGTTAAGTATGAAATTGATTTCCTAGTAACATGATGATGAAAACGGGTATTTAAAAAAAAAAAATTCTAAGATTTACTCTGAGTCTGTCTGCCTACAGGAGAAAATGATGATTTCGGTTCATAAACTATGTTCACCCAAACCCAATCTTAAAGGGTGGTGTCCTTCTTCACTTGATGGCCTCTGTAGGTCCAAATCCCTGGAACAGAATATACTGTATTATAGTAAAAAGGCAACCATTTTACTGAGATAGATGAGACATTGAAGCCAGCGCTCCCGAAGGTAGTGTGCTTAACAGAGAGCAGTTCCAATAACGAAGAGGCACGGCATTATTTTCCCATGGTGCTAGGCAGAGTGCCCCTCTCATCAGAGTGTGACTGATCTTCCTTTCATACTTAGAATTCAGCAAAAGATACAGCAAGTGGGAGGAAATCAGGGTGTGCAGATGATACAGAACTGTGGTTGGCTTTGTGTGAGATAAATATATTTTACCCCAACAATCCAGCACAAACCCAGCCATAAGACTCTGAGACCAAAGGCACTTCCAAATGGGCCTAACTGGTTATGGTTAACTGTACTGTTACCCCAGCTAGGTAAAATTGGCTTTCCTGGGCATGAAAACTGGGTGGAGGCATTGCCCCCAATTTCTGCTGTCTGTGAAATCATCCTTTGGCAGACACAACTGATTGATGTGTCCGCCATAGTTTTAATTTATTCCTTTAAGATTGGTTTTCCTATTTACTTTTAATACCATGAACTGCTTGATCTAAAAGTAAAACTAATTGTGGTGGGCTTTTCTCGAGAAAACCCTACAAAGTTAACTGATACCAACATTCATACTCAATTTCCTATAAACTCACGTTTAAAGAACCCAGGTTGTTTACCAAGTGAGCAAATTCCCAGCCAAGTCTTTTGAGAGTCTTCCTTGGGCTCTAAGGCACCAGTAGGTAAATGATTCAAAGTCTCATTCCTGTTTCAGCACACCCCTGTGTGGTGGTGATGTAGATGGACTCCAGGATCCAAGGCAGAATTGATGTGTCCCCAGCAACTTCGAATCAGTGACAGCCACAAGCTCTTACAACCATGTTCCTGTATTTTTTCAGGATGACATTGGAGTTGTCATCAAAGTATAGAACTGAGATGGCATTTAGTTTAGTTGGTGCGCAGCACGGTTTGGGGACATACTCAGGATTCATAAGGTGGACCTGTTACAAAAGAAAGAAGGGCAAGATGAGGTCCGTGTGGCCAAGGCTGCTGTCTGCCCCCAAATTCAGAACCTCCACGAGCTCACCAGGGTCTGCACGATGGCATGGTTGGTTGCATTCATGTGCGCGTTGAGGGGGAAAGAACATTCTCCATCGCAGTAATTTGCCGCGTAGCCCTTGGGTGCGATTATCCAGTCCTTCATTTAAAGCAAAAGGAAGCAAAGAGAAAACTGATATCCATGGACTCATTAACATTACCTCATCTGCACTGGACAGGTAAGGAAACATGGGGTTGGGGTGAAGTATGTGGTTCTGCTCACATTCATTTAACAGTTGAGGTTTGAATCTGGTCTGATTCTCAAGCGCCAGCTGCTTGAGCAAGCCTCTCCCACCTCCAGCTGATGCATGACTACCTGAGAGCATTCGGGTGACCAGCTTATATTTGGACCTAACGGAGTCTACAGGAGGCCCTGGGACTCCTGGTCTCATCATGTCCCCAGCACAATGAAGCTATGTTCTATCCTTTTTGTCACCTGTTACAAAGTAGGCGTGTTTCCTTACAGAGTAGTGACGGCACTCAGGTTTGGAGCAAGCCAATCTACTCTTCTGGATCACTTGGGTGGCTTGACCTAGAGCCATTAAATCCAAATTTTCCAGTCCTGGTGTGGCCCTCTAGGATAAAGCACTGGACTTCAAGGCCAATTTGAACTGCAAGGTTGGTGGCTCAAACTCACCAGTGGCTATACAGAGTGGCCATGAGTAGGAACTGACTCGACAGCACTTAACGACAGTCTTCTAGAAAACGATTTAAATTTGTGTGAGGTCCAAATATAGATCATGTGGGAAGAGTGTGGTAAACTGGCTATTGATTTGGGAGAATCACAACAAGACTTGGGGTGCCTGGACTGGGGCTAGCTGAGTGCACAGGTGGGCAGGGTCTTCCTTAGTCAGATCCAGGACCAAGCTTCTGAGGGTTCACGAGTACGTTCCCAAGGGACTCATCTCAGCCCTCGGCCTCTCAGTCTTTGATGGTAGCTGCTGCTGCCATTAGACACAAAGAGACTCACCTGCCAGCCCAGGTCTTGGAAGCTCACATAGAGCTCATGCTTTCTGCAGGCTGTTTTTAATTCACTGCTGTTGTAATCTGTGGGAGATACAAAAAGATGGACCCATAAAGCCATCCATTTCTTAATTTGAAGGATTACATGGACTGATTGGAGTCCTTTATGGTGAGTCCTGTTGAGTGACAGACAGTGTTCCCCGGGGGGGGGGGGGGGTGCCAGAATGCCCAGACCCCAAGGCTCTTAATTTGGAAGATTTCATTTCACACAAAACAGACCACTGTACCAAAATGGGTTAAATCTCAAACAGAAACACTCTTGAAGCTGGACAGTGCTTTGAAGATAGCTGCAGGGCCAGAACAGTATGCTGAAGGCAGCAAGCAGAAGCAGGAGGACAAGGAATGGGGGGCAGCAGGGACCAAGATCGCTGGCATTTTTCATCCTCCAGTCCCATGCCTGTGTTGAGCTTTTATAAGGAGCTCTGGTAGCATAGTGGTTATGAATCGGGCTGCGAACCATAAGGTCAGCAGTTCAAAACTACCAGCTGGTCCGTGGGAGAAAGATGAGGCTTTCTGCTCCTGTAAAGATTTACAGCCTCGGAAACCCTGTAGAGGGTCATTATTAGTTGGAACCAACTCCACGGCACATCACCACCGCCACCAGGACTCCTGGTGTGGCACTGTAGGATCATATTGGGCTGATGAACCCATCTTTCTGTTAAGGTATCATTTAAGCAGAGCCTGAAGGAAATCAAAGAATGCAGCATGAAGCTACAAGGGGGAAGAATGTCCTCTGCAGTAGAAATGGCAAATACCAAGGTTCTGAGGAAGTAGCCTGCTTGGCATGTCCAAGGAGCCGTCTGCTATGTGTTTACTAAAACCTATTTCCTTTACCTACCTCCTGGGCACACAGCCAATTGCCGCTGTCCACTATAGTTAGGTGTGGCCATGTGACTGAGTTCTCCCCAGGGATTGTGGGGAGATAAGTTGCTTCCAGGCTTCACATGCTCTTTCCTCTCCCAGCAGTTGAGTCCATCCAGGAGAAGACTAAAGGTCCTGGCCCCCTTTCACTCGGGAAGGTGCCCTAGGTCCGATGAGAAAGTGTATATAACCACCTACTGAGTCTCACCCTGACTTTTCTCCGCCCAACTTCATCTTGCCAGAGCTCCTCCAAAGTACGCTTTCTCGAAATACCACTTCTATGCTGGGGACCACAACCTTCTTGAAGTTAGGCCTAGAGACATTGGCAGTGAAATCTCTTGACAGCTTCCCTTCTGGGGCCAGGCAACGTGAGCAGGGACGATCTCTTCATGTCTGTATTTCATGGTGCTCTTCAGGCTGAAAGGAACTATGATGACGTCTTGGCTGGGGCCTCACTTCTTGGATGGGGCCTTGCTTCTATCTTCACCAGTAAGTTCTATTTTTGAACTTGCTGCTAATTTGACTCTCTCAGGGCTCAACAAAGAGAACGTTCTCTGGAAGAACAGCTGTTTCTTTTAGAGCCAAACACTAGCATTTTTGTTGTTAAGTAAGGATCGGGGCCAGAGAGAGGAAAGGGAGGAATGAAACTCTTCTACAGACACTCTCAGGCCTTGCTTACGTTTCCTTATAGCTCCATGTTAAGTGCTGGCAGGGAATAGATAAATATTTGTGGAGGTCAGCGCTCCTAAGAATACTCGTGCCTCCCTCTCAGGTGTCAGTATCCTGGGTTCTGCAGGGTAATTACACTGCTGCCACACTATTTTTTTTGGAGGAAAACATCCCTCCTCCTAGCCCTGCATTTGTTTAGATAAATAAGTCTACATACCAAAAAAAAAAAAAAGAATGAAACAACCCAAACCCAGTGCCATGGAGTTGATTCTGACTCCCAGTGCCCCTGTGGGACAGAGCAGGCCTGCTCCCAGAGCTTCCCGGGCTGTGCATCTTGACAGAAACAGAGGACCTCAGCTTTCTCCCACAGAGTGGCTAGTGGGTTTGAACTGCCGATCTTGCAGTTAGCAGCTGAATGCCTAACTCAGTGTGCCACCAGGACTCCTTACAGTCTGCCTAGGGCTAGTAAAACATTTCTGCAGTTTTTTTAAGGAACTTGTCCCTTTCAGTGGAATCAAGGAAGTGAACTCAGCTTTGTTCAAAGGGGTCCACTAGGCAGGGCATAGAGGAATTCAAGGAGCTAGATAGAAGCCCAAACTCCATAGCAAGAGCCCCAATGTTGATGATATCATCCCCAAGCGCAACAAGTCTTGGGCTGGATGAGTACCCTGCCTCAGGTTCCTGAGCCCCACCTCAGACCCAGTAGAGCAACACCAGGCACTGGGTCCCCACAGCCCAGATGACTCTTAAAAATCATTTGAGGCTCCCAGAGAGGGGACAGAATCCCCTGCTCAGATGGAAAGTCTGTCTTTGGGCACTAGAGACTTTGGGGCCTTCCAGGGACATAGCTCTGTTGAAGGACCAGTGTTGGTCCCAAGAGCAATTTCTGAGAGATCTGACTTTTTCAAAGTTAAACACAGAAGGCAAAAACTGGCCATCCAAAGCTGTGCAGAGCAGGACCTGTGGTTAGCTTCTACAACAAGGAGCCAAAGTACTTCTGACAAGGAAAAATCGACAGGGCCCAGAATGGTGAAATATATAAACTTCTGTTCTTCAAAGCCATCAGTCTGGGTATTTCTGTTACAGCAGCTCTAGGACACTCAGGCAGGCAGTGATGGGCAGGATATTCTTCACCAAAGGCCAGAGAGACTTGGGTCCATGAGCCCCAGCTGAGAAAATGACCTGGACATTCAGAGACATAGCAAGCAGGGATGCTGCACTGCCCACCACAACGGGATGCAGACACAGAGGGAGTGGGAGCAGTCACAAGAGAGAAGTTTGCAGACAGCAGGGGGTTAGCGGCAGCCCATCCCATCCCTGGGCTCAGTGAGAGGTAGCCCCAGCCTGTTCCTTCCCTACTGCAGTAGCGGAAGACATGGAGGGGTGGGGGGAGAAGGCAGCAGAGAAACAACAACCAGGTGAGAGGGAGGCAGCCCCCCTCCTTTGTCAGGGCTCCTGGGCTGTGGTCAGCCTCCCCCCTGCCGCCGGCCAGCTGCAGGCCCCCATGCCTTACACAGCAGGCCTCACACGCCACACACACAGCTAGGAAAACAGTATAGCAGCAGGAGCTCAGACCAAGTGGCATGTTCCACTCTGCTTCCCAGCTTCCCTGAGCTCAGGCCACAGACTCTCCCCAAAGAAAACGTGCTTGCCAGAGAGAACAATTCATGACTTTCATCTCCGTCCTCGCCTATAATGAAAAGGGAGGTTAAAATGGCACTGCTGTCTTCCTTTGGCTGGGCCACGCTGGCTGTACTTTCTCTTATCTGGAGGCCTTACTGGCTCAGCCTTATCTACAACATAGCCCCGGCTCCTAGTGCCATGGACAAAACGGGCAGCAACATGACCACACCAGGGTTCTGATTTCTGCTGTCAATAATCCTGGTAGTGGGAGACAGCTTAGTTTTCAGAGTCTCAATTTTGTTTATGATCGTGATGATTAGCCTGAGAGGCAACAGTGAGGGCTTATTCTTAGGTTGCTCCTGGATTGTGTGATCATGTAGACTTCATTTACTCTAGGGGGTCATGTGTATGGGTTTGGGGGTGGGGTTGTGGTCTGTACTTAGCCTTTTTTTCTCAAACACAAATGGATAAGGAGCTAATGAGCTTATAAATAGAAAAACGCTATAAAGCAAATTCTAATAGATGAAAGAAATAGATGAATCTACAATAATAGTGGGTGATTTTAATACACTGCTTTCAAAAATCGATAGAATAACCAGAAAGAAACTTGACAAAGACACAGAAGAGCTAAACAACAAAATCAGCCAACTGGACCTCATAGATGTGTACAGAGCATTCAACCCAACAACTGCACAATACACAATATACCAAAATCTTTGGGACATGGCAAAAGCAGTGCTGAGAGGACAATATATTGCAATAAACGCACACATCCAAAAAGAAGAAAGAACCAAAATTAACACAGCATCTACAACACATGAACACAGCATCTACAACAGACCAACAGAGGGAACCCACAGCCAACAAAAGAAAAGAAATTATTAATAAAGATTAGAACAGAAATAAATGAGACAGAAAACAGAAAAACTGTAGATACAATCAACAGGACAAGAAGCTGGTTCTTTGAAAGAATTAACAAAATCGACAGACCATTGGCAAACCTAACAAAAGAAAAGAGGGAGAAGACACAAATAAC